AAGAATTTCGACAAAGAAAAACCAGTAAACCAAAACCAACCTACCGTTTATATGTCAAAACCTTAGGACAGTTATTTAAACAACAACTGATTATATTACGTCACACACACACACTCACACACACACTCACACACACACACATATACATACATATATGTGTAGTGTATATATATATATATAAATATGAATATATATTATACATACAACATGTATAGTACATGCACACATTCATATATCTGATTCCAATTGTAATATCAACCACGTCAGGTTATGTAACATTTAATTAAACTCATTTTCACATTCGTGCGACCTCACATACGCACATACAAACACACACATACAAACACACACAAACAAAAAATCAGACAGACAGACATACATACTTAGAAAGAGATAGAGAGAGATAGAGACTGGCAAACACACAAAGGCATACATACTCGTATGTATGTAGGAATGTGTGGATGCGAGCATGTGTGTATGTATGTGTGTGTATGTATGTATGTATGTATGTATGTATGTATGTATGTATGTATGTATGAATGCATGTATGTATGCATGCATGTATGTATTAGTTTCGTTTTTCTTGAGTATGTGATGTAACTAATTATTGTTCGGTACTGAACTGACAGGCAAACAAGTAGATGGCTAACGTTTCATGAAATTGCTCCAATAATAATACAATGGCAGTTCTTGTATGTTGTATAGGCCGTTGTGGAATGGAGGTGTGTCGTGTTGTTGCGTGCGTGTGTGTGTATGTGTGTGTGTGTGTGTGTGTGTGTGTGTTGTATGTTGACGTCATCATCGTCGTCGTCATCATCATCACCGTCATCATCGTCATCGTCATCATCACCTCCACTGTTCCTCCTCTGTGTTCACGCTTCAGTACATTTCCTAGGGTATGTTATGCAAACTTGGTGACAGTGGGATGACGATGATGATGACGACGATGATGATGGTGATGACGACAAAGAAGATGATGTTGCTGATGACGGCCTTCGTTGTTTATAATTGAATAAATTTACAATTTTTTTAATTAAAGCCAATAAGATTAATTCCTTGTTAAATTGAGAAACTTTTTTGTTGTTGGCCTGACCTGAAAACCTATCACATTGAATTGATTGAATAGAGCTTAGCTATTATTAACACGCGCCCACACACGCACACGCACGCACACACACACACACACACACACATACGTACATACATGTTTCTACTTTCAAAAGCAACGAAGCTAATTAACATACAGTCTACAACTACAACAACAACAACAGCAGCGAAATTAATTGGAAACATTATTTGTTAACTAACGACAACAACAACAACAAAATATCAAAAGATATCAACAACAACATCTTCTTGATTAAATTAAAAACAGAAAATGAATCAAAAACAACAGCGACAAAACCATAATTGGGTAGCAACATTAACAACAACAACAATAACAACAACAACAACATCAGCAACAACAAAAACAACAACGACATAATCCTATAAACAATATTTACGACAAAACGGTCACATCGACAACTAAAATAACATTAATAACAACAGCACCATCACCAACAACTACAACATCAATCACATCATCAATACTTGCGACACAACAAATCGCACATACCACCAAATTAACAACAACAACAGCAACAACAACATCAACAACAACATCAACAACAGCAACAACAACAACAATAGCAACAGCAAACACAATCCAATCTAATGTATATAATTTTCAAAGTAGCCACGATCGATAAGAAAGATCAAAAAGGTTCCTGATAATTTTTCAAAGGTTCTCAAATGCACCCCAACTGCCAGCGTACGACCAACATTTAACAATAAATAATCCTAAATGTTCTACATTTAGCCTCTCTCTCTCTTTCTCTCTCTCTCTCTCTCTACTTCTCTTTCTATCTCTCTATTTTTATTTTTATCCCTTCTCATTTTTTCTAATTTACACTTTCTGTATTTTTGTTGCTTTTCCGCTTCGTTTTTAGTAGTTTAACATTAAATTACTTTCACAGTTTTATATTTACTTTTTCTACCTCTCTTCTTTTTTTCTCTCCTTCTCTCTCTCTCTCCTATTCTCTCTTTCCCTCTTTCTCTTCCTCTCTTTTGTTCTTCCGAAATGTTGTACCTGTAGCCGTCTTCTCTTACTGATTTATGTACCGTGCGCTATGTTTTTGCATGGAGATGACGATTCGATAAGCTGCTTTCTCTTCTTTTATCTTCTCTCTTTCTCACTCTTTCTGATTTTTCTCTCTTTCTCTCTTTCTCTCTTTTTCTCTTTTTTTCTCTTTCTAGCTTTTTTACAGTTTTCCCTTTTTTAGTTTTCACTTTATATATCCTTCGTTTTTCGTAACTTTTTTCTTTTTCTTTTCAACTTCTTTTCTCTCTTTCTATCTATTTCTCTTTCTTTCTCTCTTCTTTCATTCTCTCTCTCTCTCTCTCTCTCTCTCTCTCTTTTCCTCTTTTATATCAAATACCAATACAGCATCGAGTAGCCCACACAGTCAACTGTGCTATTTAACCAATAAAGCCGATGCTAATTATCTTGAATTCCATCGACTTAACACACACACACACACACACACACACACACACACACACACACACACACACACACACATATATACAGACAACTATAATTTTATTTATCAAACATTATCATTAGTTTTACACAACATCTAGTAATCATATGGAGGCTCATTGCAATCATCAAATGAAGTGAATTCGAATGATGAAAAAATATCTAATAGTAACACTGGTGATTAACTTGCTAATGAGTAGTATGTGCACACGCACACACACACACAAACACACAACATACACAACACGTACATACATACATACATACATACATACATACATACATACATACATACATACATACATACATACATACATACATACATACATACATACATACATACATACATACATACATACATACATACATACATACATACATACATACATACATACATACATACATACATACATACATACATACATACATACATACATACATACATACATACATACATACATACATACATACATACATACATACATACATACATACATACATACATACATACATACATACATACATACATACATACATACATACATACATACATACATACATACATACATACATACATACATACATACATACATACATACATACATACATACATACATACATACATACATACATACTACATACATACAAACTTCTTTACAGCCATACAAGCCTTTTTTGCATCTAAGCTTTATGATTAGCGAGAATTCCAATTAATTTTCTTGTTTCTTGTTGGTTTGTTTTTTGATTTCATAATTCCATTACTACTGTTGTTGTTATTGTTAACATTCTAATTTTATATTTTTTATTCTTTCTCTCTCTTTTTCTCTCCTTCTCTCTCTCTCTCTCTCTCTCTTTTCATTTATTTTTTATATACGTTTTCTCAGGATATGCGCTCATATATGGATACCTAATCAGCCACACGAATTCATACATACAGATCAAAATAAACCAATATACAAAAATATATATATATGTGCTTGTATGTGTGTATATATGTGTGTGTGCGCGCGTGTTGATACGTGTGCGTGCGTGTGTGTATGTGTTTGTAAGTGTGTGCGCGTGTAAGTATGGTGTGTGTGTGTGGTGTGTGTGTGTGGTGTCTGTATTTGTTTATGTGTGTGTATGTTGGTGTGGCGTGTGTGCGCGTGTGTGTGTGTGCGTGTGTGTAAGTGTGCACTCGTTCCTCCACACCACAATACCACTACATACGGTATGTATATTTCAAACAAACAAATTTCTCGGCTCTGATTGGTCGGATCGATGGAGCCTTTAACACATTCTGTCCAATGGCATTCGGTTATTGGGTTATGCATTTTGATGCTTTTGCTTATATATACATATATATTACAATAACCAATGTACATATATACATATATATATATATATATATATATATATATATATATATATATATATTGTATACATATATATATTGTTTGGGTACATAGCGTATCGGAATGTTTATAAAGTGAAGTGAATAGATTGATTTAATGTTTATTTTGATTGAAAATTGTTTTTTTGTCGTACCGTATATTTAAATTTTCAATAAAAGTTAATTTTTTTTAAATAATAATATTGTTATTATAATATTGTTATTAGTAATAATATTACGAATATTAATTTACAAATATTTCTATTTTATTTTCGTTTGGGAGTAGATAAATTTGATTGACAAGGTTATCACACAGACACGCACAATAGGCAAGTTTTTATTTATTATTGATTGATAAGCTTAATAGATGCACGTATATTACAACGTGTTTCAAGAAGATATATATCATATATCATCTATACAATTCTTTACAAGATATCTCTGGTTTTTTTTACTAATTTATCCTGTAAAATTTGTTTTTAACTGTGTATTCCATCGTTAAAATCAAATTTTAATACATGTATATGTGCGTGTGTGCTTGTATCTGTGTGTGTGAATGTGTGTGTATGTATGTATGTGTGTGCGTGTGTGTGCGTGTGTGTGTGTGTGTGTGTCCCGAAGCGAATGTGAAGAATCGCTTATCAGCTAACAGCTTGTTATCTCTCACATCTTCACGTATATACATTACATTTCAGATAGATAGGTTATACAGAATCACCTATTTTGTATGTAGGTATGTACGTGTGTGTTTATGCGTGCGTGTGTGTGTGCGTGCGTGTGTGTGCGTGTGTGTGTGGGTTATATAAATGGACATGTGTTTTATTGACATCAGTTGAACTTTTTCCCTTTTTGCTATTGCAATAAAATTGTTTTTGTTTACTCATCCTGATGATGATGATGATATGGATATGGTGATGATGACGATGATGACGACGATGGTAGTAATGATAACGATGATGAAATGATAATCATGATGACGATCATGTTAAATATATTTTTTCTGAACATTAATGTTTTTTTTAGATTTATAAAAACAGTGTAAAAATGGAATTAAGTCAAAACGTAAACAAAACTTTGATGAAAAAATTTTGGAAAGTCCAAAAGAATCTTCTCTGCTCAAGACGGGCTCAACAATCAACAACTTTGCTGCACTCAAAAGCGAAACTGAAAGTGAAACAACAACAACAACAACAACATAAACATTTGACAGCCAAGCAGGGCAATCACGTCAACATCTACGATTACATCAATTCGTCTGATTTGCTTCAAGACAACAACAACAACTACGCAGACAACGCCATCCATAGAAACAACATCAAAAAAATAAGCAACAACAACAACTACATCAACAAAAATAATGTAAGATGCATTTCTGACAGCAACAACAACAACAAAAATAGCATCAACAACGCCAAGAATGACAACAATACACTTCTAGGACCAGCGTACGTTGATGTTACGGCGTTAAATGATTTTTCGCGCCAAAAATCTCATCTGTCACGTGATTCCGGTTTCGTTAACTTGTCTGCTGCCAGTTTAAATTGTCTGGAGAATAAACACGACAGTGAGTTAATATTGTTGTTGTTGTTGAAGAATTTGGAAAAAAAAGATGATGTTGTTGTTGCTGTGCTGTTGTTGTTGTAGATGATGTTGTTGTTGCTGCTGCTGTTGTTGTTGTTATTAACATAACATAATCACATTAACATATTCACATTAACATGATCACATTAACATAATCACACAAACACAATCGCATCATCGTATCACATCATAACCAAATCATTCTTATAGCCGTGTAATCCCATGCAGCCCGGAACCAAAGCAGGCCACAGCAAACAATTTTATGCAACGTTCTGTTATTACTATCTGTTATTATTACCATTATTAAT